ATAATGTAAAGAGCTTCAATGACTTGGAGAGGTTAGAGAGAGGATCCATGGCTGGAGCTCAGGCTGCAGCCCAGTTAATACGTGACTATAGTACTTTTTATCATTTTTCAGATTTTTAAAGGTAAACTTTTTAAAACTTTTAATTATTTAAAATATAAAGTTGAGTTTTATAAAGTACATAGTCATGGATCTAGCATCTTTAACATCTGTAGAGAACATTATTGTGACTACCAACATATAACTGATGGCCCTTTTCATGCAATTCCTTATCGACACCTTAGACCATAGGAACCTCTTATGAGTCTTCCTTCCCTTTAGTTTTATTTTGTCAGAGTGTCAGTGGTGGAATCACATATATAGAGAGTTTTCATAATTAGATCACCTCTTAGTACAGCCAAGCAGAGAGAGAGAGAAAGAGAGAGTGAGCGAGTGAGCAAGAGAAAGAGAACAAATTTACAATGAGAAAAGGAAATCAATAGAGGACTAGTCAAAGATGACCATGAATAAATGGACTTGTGGTCAGGCTCAAAAAGGCCTGAATAACACTGAATTCTCAATGTACATGACCTCGGTAGTATATAGTATATTCTTGAAATATAAACCACTCTCCTACTCCCAATTTAGACATACATCCATAGGCAATTTTCCTGGTGATAATTTTGAGGCAATGAAAATATGTGAAAGAGGTAGGAAAATAAATATTCCAGTGATTATAGAGATTATGGATGCAGCAATAAATATAGTGTTTGGTGGTACTAAGAGATGATCTACTAACTTATCTCCAATTGGCTATGAGTAGTACACTGATCACATGATGAAGTTTCCTATATGCTGAATAAGGGAAAGACAGTGGCTACATGAATTTTTTATCCACCTGGGGCTGCCTTGTGCAGATTCATAAGAGGACATGTTAAATCTAAGCCTGGTCCACACCACTTTGTTTGAGGAACCATTTTCAGTGCTGAATCTAAAGCACTTGGCTGTTCTAGAAGGTTTCTAGTCACTGTGTTGAAATCTGTGGCCCACAGAGAATCAGTATCTCATTATAGTCTCTGCAGTTGCTGATTCCCTTGACGAAGGACACAGATGTGGAAAATCACAGGTGAAACACAAAGTCCTAGCACTAGAAACTAAGGCTAAGCACCCATTTCAGGGGCAGGGGCAAATTTCAGAGTAAAATTTTAGATCGATCTGGAAACATGACCAACGAGAAAATAAACGGAATGAGAAGAACCAAATGTTAGAACATCAGTGCTTGTGGTTGCTTACCTGTGTTTGTGGTACTGAAGATGGAGGCCAAGCATGCCCTACCACTGTGCTACGTCTCCTGCCCTTTTTCGTTTTTCTTTAGTGGCTGGGTATTGCTCTAGGCTCAAACTTGTGACCTGCCTGCCTTAGCCTCCCCAGCACTGGGATTACAAGTGTAAACTGGCACATCTGCATTCTAGTTCAGTTTTATTGGTTCACAGATGCATGCTGCCTGAGATGGTCAGCAAGAATGCCAAGTGGGTAAAAGTAATATATCTTCCAGTTTTAGCATCCAAATTAACAAGTGTTAGAAGAATAAATCTGAGAAGATGAGTTTATAATGTTTGGAGTTCAATATGTATGTATGTGCCCACCAGACTACTACTATATTTTTGCACCTTGGAAATGAGGAGTCACAGAGTGATACAGTCATTAAAGTGAATGAGATAATTCGGGATGCCTTATTAAAATAGCAGAATTTATAAAGCTACTGAGTTAACTATAGTGGGCACTTTACTTTGGCCTTGAGTTTATAGGAGCTATTTCCAGAGTTTTGCCATTAAGTTTATAATTTGATTTTAGGTTGTAAATGAATGCAGAACATGGTAGTATTTAATAATAATGTGTATTATAAATAATTATAGTGATTCTATGCAAATTCTTTCACGGTTATTTAAAATATTCTTCTAGACATTTGAAACATTTTCCAAATATCAACCATTTTTTCTGATACTCTGTGATCAAGCAACAACTGTGTCCTAGTGCACTTCAAGTGTTTCATGTGTAAAATAAAGAATAATAATGATACCTACATTGTAAACCACCGGGCTATCTTGAAAATCAGACAGATGCTTGACATCAAAGAATGTTTCTCAATTGAGGACCACTCTTGGTAGACTATGAATTATTACTACATTTAGTGGTATTTGCTTAACTCCATATCATGGTTTCAGTTTTCATGCATCCTTCAAGAAAGAAGTTTATTGCCTCTACCAGTAATGCTGAAAGATACTGCTAATGAAAGAGGTTACATACAATTAGTAACACTGGTGCAATTCTTTGTTATGACAGAGTTCTTTGAAGGTGGAGACTCAGCTTTTCTCTGTGTACCTTACTGTACAGCACAGTGCTGAGATTTAGTAAGACATCAGTTAGAACTTGTTGGGTGGGTGAATAAATGAATATGATGGGTAGATGAGTAGATAGATGATAGATAGATACATACATAGATACATAGATACATAGATTTAAAGCAAATCAGAAAACTATATGGTAATATTGGTTTCAATGCTTTAAATTTTGTTAGGCAAGTACTAAATATCTAGGCTTTATAATAATCTGTGTAAACTCGATTAGAGCAGATGTATTAACTAGACGTTACTCACAATATAGTGAGTCAATTTTACATATAACTATTTATTAACAAAGGAACTAATTGAAAAGTAACATTTATAGAACCCAATACACAGTTACTTCTACCATGTTACTATAAATAAATAATTATTCTTTTAATAAATGTCCCACTACATATAAAATCAAACATCTCTCTTATCACAGTTTTGTTTATCACATTTCTTTTTACCTCACTCCTTCAAATCTGCTTGTTCTTGAGTATCTTAATTACTTTCCTTTGTGTTGATGTTGCGTACAATCATATAAACACAGTTCTTGTCATCTTTGAACTGAATTAAGAAAATTCCAAGCCTCCCTTATTATCTTTTCTCCATTGGCTGCATAATATATCTCATATTTCAATCTAATTTAATTTCTTTGAAGAGTTGTCTTCATCAGCCATCTTCATTTTTTGAACTCCCATTCACTAGGTCTCACCACTGCAACCGTCTCCTATCCCTCCACTACTCTAAAGGCTGAACACTCTTGACGAGGCCACACATTGCTTGGCTGACCGCACCTCCGCTACTCACCTTGCCATTTAAGTATGGCCCAGCCTCCATTTCTTCACTACTAAGAACACTTGCAAATGCATAAGAAAAAAGGCAAACGTAAATGTTTAGAAATATTTTGTTATATTTACGTAAAATATTTTTAGCAATATACTTTAAATATATGTGTATTCAATGGTCTTATTTATTAATTTTAAGGAAAGAAAGTGGTAAATTTTAACATTTGACCTACTGTATTACCAAAGATTGAAGTAATTGGTAATAGAAAGTGTCAATTTATTCAACTTTTTTTGAGTGCCTTGCTACATATAAAACAGTTTTAATTTTTATAAATATGTATTATTAATAAAAAATTAAAGAATTATATGTTAAAGATCCTTCAATTATCCACCAATGGTGAAACTATGGGTGATTTTTATTTTAGTCTTCTGTACTTCTACATTTTCAACAGGGATTCATTTCATTATGTTATAGAAACACCTGTTTAGATGTATATATTGAGTAGATGAAGTATCTTTCTCATAACACCATGATAATAGCACAGCTAGAGCTTATCAGATAAATTGCAGTGGAAGCTCTCTATTTAGTCAGGGAGGTTTTCACATATGAACCAAGCCAGTTTCCACTATTAAGTTATTTACTTTATTTTATTGTGTTGGTAAAATATAAAATGCTTTGTTTCATCTTTACATGGTTTTTCTAAACAGTGCCTATTCCTTCAGAATTAGGTTTTTCACTCTGTTTTCTTTTCATTTGTTTGTTTTTCAAATTGATATCCAGCAATCCCCTCAATTTGTACCCTCTACTTAGGAACAAATCAAATTCATTCAAGAAATAAAAATGTCTCAATTCACATATTCGTTTATATAAAAAGATTTCCTCATACTTACTTGGGCAGCACATACACTAAAATTGGAACAATATGGAAAAGATGTGTGGCCCTACACATGGATGACATGCAAACTTTGAATGTTCCATACTTTTATGAAATAAATCAGACATGCAAACTTGAATATGGAATGTTTTATTTCATATGAAAAAAAGTATATATACAAAAAGAGCAAAATAAAAGATAGATAAATAGAAAGTAGGGTGAAGTTCAAATAATTCCCCAAATTACCTTATTTTTGAATTCCATTGTTTCAAAAATATTTTTATACGTATGCTAATTTGTTTCATTTAAACTATTAGTCACTCATTTCATTGAAAAGAGAATTTTGTGCTATTATCTGTTTGTTTCATCTTTCTAAGAGAGAATTTTTCTTGCCTATGTCTTGCAATCTGAGTAACTACTTTGAAGATAATAATACACAGTGTGCCAACTATAGTTATTCTCTCATTATTCTGTTATGGAATTTTTCCTTATTTTTCAGAAAAAAAGGCTTCTCCATAACATTGATATTCCTTTTCTTTTTAAACTTTTCATTGCCCATCTCCCTTCTTTACTTTACATACTCATCCTCCTTGAAATGATTTATTATTCTTGAAAAGCAATATTTTCAGATGTAGTTTCCCCCTGGTTTGAGATCCTAGCTCTGACATTCACTGTCTATGTCACTTTGGGCAAACTACTCAACCTATCCAAGGTTTAGTTTCCTAAAATATAATTTGTACATCTGAATTAAAGTTATGAGGATTAAATGAACTACTGGAGCCAATCACATAGAACAATGCCTGGCACATGGTAATCACAGTGCAAGTGTAGCTATCATCCATTTTATTGTGATTTCCTTTGAAGTGAGTTCCTTACCCCACTACATCAAGGCAACACTCTATTTGTATTAATCACAATAACCCTTAGAAGCAATAATGGAGTCAAGATCAGATGAAGTAAATCTCACTTAGAGACTATTTCCCTGTGAACAACTTCCACAAGGTGCCCTTCATGTCAGGGTTCCTGAAGCTGTAGATGAGTGGGTTCAGCATGGAGCTGATGACAGTATTGAAGACTCCAATGCCTTTTTCCTTGTCTGAAGCCTCCAGTGAACCCAGCCTCATGTAGCTGAAGAGGCCCATCCCATAGAAGATGCTCACCACAGTGAGGTGGGAGCTGCATGTGGAGAAGGCTTTCTTTCTGCCTTCAGCAAAGCGAATTTTCAAAACAGCGGCTACCACATGGGCATAGGACAGAGAGATGAGGACCAATGGGGCCACACCAATGAAGGCTGATGCTACAAACAGCAGTTGTTCATTGAGTTAGATGCTGGAGCAGGAGAGCTGGAAAAGCTGAGGAAGGTCACAGTAGAAGTTATTGATCACATTAGAGCCACAGAATTTCAGCATAGACAAAGCAACAGTTTGGGTCAGTGCATGGCTGAAGGAAAAGACATATGACATGCCCATTGAGGCTTTCTGGATTCCCCAGCTCATGCGGGTGCTGTAGGTAAGTGGGTGGCAGATGGCCAGGTAGCAGTCATAGGCCATGACAGTCAGCAGGAAGCAGTCTGCCCCAGCCAGGAGGTGGAAGAAGAAGAGCTGTGAGAGGCAGGCTCTATAGGAGATGCTTCTGTCATTGAATAGGAATTGCCTCAACATGGCAGGGACTGTAACAGTGATGCACCCAACATCCAGCAGGGACAAGTTCCCCAGGAAGAAGTACATGGGGGTGTGGAGTTTGGGTTCAATGAGGATGGCAGCAAGGATGCTGAAGTTGCCACCAATAGTAACTACATAAGCTAGAAGGAAGATGACAAAGAGGATGGGCTGCAGAGCTGGAATCTCTGTTAGACCCAGCAGGACAAACTTAGTCTCAAAGGAATCATTTCCTGAGGCTCCCAATAGCATATCTCTCTTCCATTAGCAGTAGAATTAACAACGCTCAAAAGTACCAATGGTGGCTAAATGTGAATGAGACCATGATTAACAATCACCAAGTGTAGCAATGTCAGAAGTCAGGATGTTAAGACACATACAAATTAAGAGGAACAAAGGTAAATATTGAGACATAATAGGAAAAGACTTGATAAATATGACTTTTAGTAGGTAAGAAAATGGCATTGGAGAGACTCACAATAGAAGTGTTAATATAAAATTCTTGAATTTTGCCAAAAATTGAAACAAATGTGACATTTTAAGGTTGGGGAGGATGATTTTCCGTAAGCCATAGTTCGAAGAAAGGAATTAAAAGTCTTCATATGATGACATGGCCATAGTCTGGATACACAGTGTCCCATTATATGAAAGTTAAGCTTCAGAAGCAGGAAGGGGCATGGTCCCCTTAAGTCATGGTCCCAGGACTCCTCAGACTCCACATACGTATGTCATGATAAAGTCATTCATTGTTATCCTCCATAGGTTTGTTCTAGGAAACTTCAGATATGGAATCTTCAGATGCTTAAGTCCTGTATGTAAAGTGGCATAGTATATAAATATAACCTGTGCACTTCCTTCTGTATACTTGAAATCTTCTCTAGATTAATTATTATACCTAGTATAATGTATACACTATGTAAATAGTCATTACCCTGTACTGTTTAGGGAATGAAAAAAGTCTGCACGTAATCAATTTAGATACAAATTTTCCTGAATATTTTCAACCCCAGATTGGTAGAATCGATAATGTAAAAACCATAGATATGGAGGGCAGATAGAAATGTTGGCAGCACAATGATGACCACTATGGCTAAGAGTATTAAAAGATTAACATGTGAAACCATGATACTTGCTCTGAATTTTTCAGAAAAAAAAAAAAAAAAAGTGAAACGCAATGAAAAACAGTGAAACTGAATGAAGATAGGTCTTTGAAGACATTTCCAGGTCCAGAGCTGGTTACTACCAACTTTTTAGATTTTTGTAAATAGTAGGATTTTATTGAATTTCTCCACACAGACTCTAAGAAACTTGGGCTCTGAAGCAGTGACATTTTACTGAATAAGAAGAATATAAGAAGGGTTTGAGCAGGGTGAAGATCTCAGATTTGCTGAGTAGATACACAGTAGAGTTGCCTCACAGGATGCTCAGCTGAATTCATTCAGAGCTGAAGTCTTAGCGCTTCACTGTTTTGTTTCCTTAATCTAACTTTATGTCACTTAAATCATGTCCATTCATTGGCCTAGTGATCAGACAAAAGCCATGGACAACCAAGATGCATGGTTACTTACATGAGGCTTTTAAAACCCAAACAGATTACTTGAATAAAATACACAGTGATCCACCTCAACCTCTGGCTGAAAGATAAATACTAAATCACTCATAAGGAGCATAACTCACAGAATGAAATTTAGAGATCCCCAAGACCAAAGGCAAGAGAAGAAGACATTTCCTGATTAACAGTGTCCTCAGGCGCACAAGAGGTCAACCACCATGGAAGGGTCTGACCTTTTCTGCATGGACATGTTCTTACCATTACTTCAAACTCACTATGTCAAAAGCTTAATCAACTTTGTTTAATGTGCCCTCCCTTTGACTGTACCCCACCCGTGCCATCCTCCCAGTTAATGGGGCTAAAAACTCAATCTTCACTACCTCCTCCCTCCCTCCTTCCTTCCTCTCAATGTCAAGCACCCAAGTCCCACAGGAGATTTTAGGTTGGGAGAGAAAAGGTTTTTCAGGGCCAAGAGATGAACTTTACATGCAAGGAAATCAAGTAGTGAACATGAACCAGGGGGTCCAGGAATGGCACTCACCTAGTTAAGGAGAGAGGCACTTGTTGGGCTAAGAGGAGTGACAGGTAATCTGGCCCAGTGGTCCTCACAGAGGTGAGAGCTTATAAATGCCAGATAGACAAAGAGACAAATAACTTTGCTGACATCATTTCACATTGGGCTCTCTCTCCTCTCCATTATTACTCCCTGGTGACCTTAGAAATTAGTGCCTTCCAGGGGGAGCTAGAGCTGGGTAAACACTGCTTTAACCAAACCCATAAGGATCTCTTAGGCCCATAATGATCTCTTTAAATGTTTTGAACATTGTCAAAATGTTTTCAAGTGTGAACTTCATGGATATGGAAAAATTCATTCATTTACTTAACAAATGTGTTTTTAAGCACTTATGAGCCAGCATTCTTGCTGCCAGTATTTTATAGAGTTCAGTTGAATCTCAAAAGAGTCTTACAGTCGAAAGTCACAGTGTTATGGAGAATTTGAGATTTTGGGTTTGTGATTAGTCCAGGTCATCATTTTAGGAGAGGGAAGGAGAGGAGAGGAGTAGTGACTTGTGACTGCCTTGTCTTTTCTTACAGTATGAGCCTGACAGGAGCATGGAGCCTGGGACTGCTCTGCTCCTCTTTCGTCCCTGACACGGTATCCTCTACAATATCTCACAACTCACCTCACATCACAGCTCACTTTACCATCCTTAAACCTAGATTCTCTTCCAGTGTCAAATAAATGCCTTGCATTTTCTCTGCTCCCAAAGCATAATCCAGACCGTATAGCATTCTGACTGTGAATATTTTCCATTCTCTTTCTCTAGCACTATAAAGCAGATAAAGGTTTAGATCACCTGCTAGACCAGGACCCCTCTACTTTTATTAATTGCTGAAGGTGACTTTAGATGTCAAGTACAATGTGTAGCAGTTCCTTGCTCATTAATAAACCTTCTCCACTGGCAGAAGATTGCCATGAGTCAAACAGGAGTTGGCAGAGAATTAGGATGGGTTGATATTTCTTCTGTTGATGGGTATTCATTCAATGGGAACTCTAGGTTACGGAGCTCAAATAAAACTTATCATGTCCACCTTCTTACCCTCACATATCATGAGATAATGATTTTTTCCCGTTCCTCTACCCTGCCTTCACCTCTTTTCCCCTCCTTATTACAAAAGCTTTGTTTCCATCTTTTCCTTGTTTTCTCATTTTTTTTTCCTTTCCTTCTTTTCCCTAATCTCCTCCCTTGTTCCACTTCTCTTTGGACATTCTTATTTCACTATACCTGTTATACGTTTTGGTATTTATTTACACTTTCAGTTTCTCACACTGCACTGGCAAACACTGAGATGTCACCCAGGATTTAGAGGCAGATTTATTAATGTCCATGGACCTGACTGGGAATCATTCTCATAGTGTCAGGCCCTGATCTCTGGGACTCTAAGGCTTATGTAAGGTTTGCAAGAGGGAAGTACAGAAGCAGAGTGTTTGGTGGTTATTGTTTGGTTACATCTTATCTCATTATTACTGATTGACCTAAGAGAAAACTATATCATATATATTGCATACTAAGGCAAGTTAAAACTCTAGGCAAGCTCAGAGTTATGGGAAGCACTTGGTTGAGGTAACATATGGGTTCTGGGTGAGGCTGATTAGATAAATAGTCACTTGGTGTTAGAAAACAAATCTGCTCAGGGGAGTACCTAGTTGCAGGTTGGCATAGGACCTCAGAAATAAAAATTTAACTCTTTATTTTCCCCTTCTGCGGAGAACCACCTGGGTGACTCTCCTTGAAGGAGGAACAGTTATCTCCATTTTAGCTGAGCCTGACCCTATTTTCATGTATTGATGTGTACAGAGCTGGCTAGGGCTTTTCCTATCCCTTCAATTGGCTTTAAGCAATGCATGTCAGTGTAGCTGAAGTGTTGATGGTAGTCTTTGAAGATGGCAGGTGTGTTTCCTGGGATAGCCACCCCCTGTTGTTTCCATATGTCAGCTGGCACAAGGCAGGATGTAGAGCCAGTGCTCCATATTGTCAGCTGGGATTGAGCCTTGAGATAGAGGCTATGACTTCTAGGGGCTTGAAAGATTACACATCAGAGCTGAAGCACCAACCCCAAAACATTAGATACTACCTCAATTGTGTTATGCAGACTACTCTTTCTGTATATCCTCTCTGTATTTGTAGAGGTGACTTCAGGCCTCCTATCTAGCCCAGCTTATGGCACTCACCTACTTCCCATGGTTCTTATAGTCACTCATCCTCAAGCCACTCCTTTCTTCATGAATGAATAAAACCTGGGTTTGGGTTGAAGCTTTTGTTCTGGATAGCCTTCATCATGGCTGGACTTAGGAACCTTGGCTCCCCCGAACTACAAATATGTCTTAGTGTCTTTATTTTCACCGTGGGTTGCACTGGGAGTGGTAGATTGGAGTTAACTCGCTAGAATTCCAATAACTTTTCATGGGATTACAAATATAAACTTCCTGGACTGCAATGAGGACTGGGAAGGGCTCTCTATACTCTTAAACATGAGAGAGACAATACGGTATTTACACATGTCCAATTTATTTCACTTAAGAGTATGGTCTCAAGGTGCATTTGTTTACCTAGAAATGTCTCAAGCTTATCCTTCCTTATGGCACAGTAGTACTCCACTGTATAAGAAAAACATATCTTTTTTATCCATTCACCAGTTGATGGGCCCTGGGGCTGTTTGTAAGATTTGGCTATTACAAACTGTGCCACTATATACATGGATGTCTATGTATCACTATGTTGTGATGTTTTAAATTTGTTTGGAAAGATACCAAGAAGGAGCATAGCTGGGTCAAATGGGACCTCTAGTTTTAGCTTTTTGAGGAATCTCCACACTGATTTCCACACGGCTTGCACCAATCTACACTCCTACTAACAGTGGAAAAGGGGCATGCCCCATGTGCATTAATTACTGCTTGATTTCTTGATAACAGCTATTTTTTCTGCAGTGAGATGTCTATGAGCTTCTTTTTTAGTTAAACGTGTTTCTTGTATGTAGCATGTTGTTGGATCTTTTTCTTGATCCAGTCTACCAGTATGTTTCTTTTGATTGGTGAATTGTGACCATTTACATTGATAGTTATAACTAATATTGGTTTACCCTTGTCATATTATCTTCCTTTTGTTTGTTTCTTGTCTTTTCCTCTGTTTAATTGCTT